AAATCATGGACTTCACAAAGCTCGTTATAATCACAATAATGCTTCATCACACCTACATTCAGCTAGTGCAAGCATGCACAAAAAATATACCTACTTGACTTGGAAAATGCAATTTTGCAAAAGGCAACAGCACATCTACAATCATGGTGCAGTAAAATGCACCCCCAGTGGTCACTTACCTTCATATGTGGAGGGTATGAACTGCCTGGAGCCTGAGGAGGAGAGGGGGCAGCAGCAGCAGGTGCAGCTGGAGGTGGAGGGGCTGCTGCTGCTGCTGCAGGAGCTAAAGCAGCAAGTTTTTCCAGAGTGAAGTCCTTAAATGCGGGGATGAGGTCAGGTCTGAGGTCGAAGATGAAAAGAAAAGGTGTATGGCAGCAAGGATCACCTTATTATGGTCATGACAAGCCTCAGACGTGAATTTTAATGTGATGTTCAGACAATTTGTTAAAAAAGGTCTGTAAAGATTGCTGGCTTGAATCCAACATATGCTCCACTTTCTGCTATAAGAGGGCTGTATAATAACAACACAGAAATCTGGTTTCACAAGCTTTGAAAAACAACATATTTAAAAGAAAAAGAATTGTCCTCACTTGTCAACTGTAATACATATAACTGATCCAATGGGTACATCTCTTGTGCCCTCCTGCACCAAGATCTTGGCAAGATAGCACTCTTCTAGCATCTCAAATCCTACTGTGGCCTTGTCTGTTTCCACCTAAAGAAATACAAAACATACAGACAAGTGTTTGCAATGTTCTTTAAACGTATCAAAGGTATATTTGAGTTATTTAGAACTCATCTGCTTCATTCTGATGACCAACACTTTGGTCTCACCTCAGCGATCAAGTCACCCTCATTGATTTTATCACCCTCCTTCTTCTCCCAGCGAGCAATGGTGCCCAACTGCATTGTGGGAGACAAAGCAGGGAGTTCCACCTGTAGAAAATGGAAAACGTCACTTTACAGGTTCTCAGCCAAGAGGGACTCTAAGGAGCTAAGCAAATCTCAGCATACCATCTAAGAAAATGTCATCAGAGCTCTTCCTCCAAAATAGCTCACGCACACCCTGTTCAAAGATCATCATTATTGCTGGGTCAGTTTCCCAGATCCACATGAAGCTTAAGCCTAGACTTAAAAGACTTTCACATGGTGATTCACCACTGACACCACAATTTGGTCCAGGATCAGGCTTAATCCATGTCTGAGATACAAGTTAATTATCTCCCAACTATAGTACAGAAAATACTCATAAACCGTAAGAATAGAACACTTTGCAAACTCTTGGCTGACTCCAGTGTAACCTATATACACTCACTGGCCACTTTATTAGGTACACCCACCATGTATATGCACTAATTTACCATTTTATCAGGTACACTTACCAATAAGTGCATTTTGTAGTTCTAAATGTATAGCTATGTAGTCCATATGTTTCTCTGCATTACTTCTTAGCCTGGTTCATCAATTGTCAAGACCCCCAAAAGACCATCACTGTGCATCATTGGGTGGTCGATCGTTCTCAGCACTGCAGTGCGTCCAAAACCACACACTACCATACTAAATAGTATGTCAAAAGAAGTACACCACAATTAGAAGTCCATTCATTAGAACAGTACGTACAGCACAGTGGTATGTGTTTTGGGACGCAGCCTAAAATGACTATACGTACTAAGCATCATACCGAATACCCTGGCCAGTAAGTGTAGAACAGGCAGACTAAAACATAACAAATAAACGCCTAATAGACGACACCGAATAAGACTAAACAAAACAGACATTGTAGACGTTGAAATGAACATTGCTCAAAGTGACACTCGTTGGAAACAGACCGAGCGTCATATGGATCTCCGTTAAGGCGAGTCGTGCTGTACAGTTTAGAAATGAAACGAGTCAGACAGCTAGGTTAGCGATCACCTTTCTCAAAACAGACAGTGGTTTGGTCTTTGCTTGAGTGAACTATCTAAATGCTAAAATACACAACAACCTGACATATAACGTTAACCCAAAAAAAGCGTATTCACAGTAAAAAGCTCGAAACACTCAAAAGGCAACAAGTCAGCGCTGACCCTGCTCAGGGAGCTAACCTAACTCACTCCGCCAGCTCCAGCACGGCTAGCTGGTTTAGCTTAGCAATTCCTTTACCTTCTGATGGGGCGGCAGACTGTAGACTCGGCCGCTCTGACTGAGAGCAGCGCTCTGCTGCTGTAAGACACAGGTTTTTCCGGTAAGGATGCCGCTGTAAGCTTGTGTGGAGCGGCCAAGGCTGCGGTCACTGTGGAGCCGTCTGAGCTGACTCGGTACCGGCGCGGGGCCCGAGAGGACGGCGGGCCGGGCGGACCGAACACACGGCCTCAGGCGCAGCACTAAACGTAACATTTCGACCGGAAAGGAAACTCGGCTGGGTGCAGGAGAAGCTAGTCTGCTGTCAGAATATGTGACACCTCATACAGCGACCGCGTCTATGGGCCAAAACGAAGTGGACTGGAGCCTCACTTTCCAATGACCTCCCCGCTTCAAAACAGCACCTTCACGGCGCTCCCCGCCTGCCTGTCCTCACTGGTGCAAGCTGAGGTTGCCAGGAGAGTATAAACTCCGTATAGTATGTGTCCTTTATGGAGGCCTTAAGGTGACCTGGTAATTAATATATTGAGGCCACAAGTTAAGTTGCTCGGGGCCATAAATTAATGTACCGAGGCCACAAATTAATATATGTGTTGTAGACATCACCCCTGGTTCAACTGTAAAGAACCATTGTAAAGAAATTCAAGTTAGTAAGTTTCTCTAGAATTAACCATTTCACAAAACTCTGAATGACTTTGTTTACATCTCAACAAAACCTTTGGAACCTTTGGAACCTAAAGGTTCCAGTGGTTAAGTGTTTTATTATAGAACTAAAAGGTGATCGTTAGTCTGTATATCAGGAGGTTGCAGTTTTAGTTTTAAAAACTTTTTGTTTACTTCCATTTTCCATCTGCTTCATGCACTCATGGTTTTTGGACAAAATCTCTACACTTTACAGTGTAGAAAATGTACACTAATAATCATCAATGTCTAAGTACTACATAAATAAGCATAAGAAGCAGGTTACAACATCAGTTCTACGTAGTTAATTACAATGGATTGTGCTTTTAAGTATCATCCAATGATAATAATTAAAGTGTTTGTCATGATAGGAACGACTTTCATTTTAGCCCTTCATGTTTAATTCCCAATTCCTTGTATGTGTGTGATTTTAGTTAATTCTGTGGGTGGATCACCTGAACTGCTTTTCTCTTGGTTGCACCTCTCACCTTCAATATTTATGATTTTATTTGATCATAATTATAATATATTGATTATAAGATTTAGAATACAATTTCCTGTACAGGATGCACTGAAGTACAGCTGTAATTATATAGTAAGTTTTTGACTTGATATTTACTCAAGTAATTTTTTTCTGATAGCACTGATAACATTTACTTCTCCTGGTTCATTTATTTAGTAACAGCGCTTTTGTTTAGGTGTATTTGAACTCTTTCGAAGTGGAGGATTTTCTGTGAAAACATGGCAACCCTCAGACGACGCTGTCAGTGGACGTCTCATAAACTGTCGTAAAACGTCGCAAGAACGAGGTTTGCCACACGGTAGCCGGCGCTGTCACAAAATCTTTTAAATTTATTTTAGCTTTTTAAATTCGTTTAACAATAATTTATATGATTGTAAAAATGGGCTGCATTGGAAAAATAGCCTCGCAGGTCAAGACTGTACTACTAACATTAGACCCTGTAACTAAAAACTCTGTCGTGAGCTGTTTATTTTGGTCTTTGGTCATTTTAAGGCGTTTGTTTGTCGGTTGAGAGAAGAGCGGCTACAACCGACCCCGTAAGAACAGCGACTTGCCGTCTCAGATATACCGACTTATTATCCCAGATGGCTTGTTTTCTCAAACTATTGCATTTGTATGTCTAAGTATTTTCTTTCTCAAAATAACGTATTTCTTCCTGTGACTTATCTTCTCAAATTATTGACTTAGTATCTCCAAATAACTGATTTTCTCCAGAAACACGTAATAGATCGAAACTTCTCAGACTAGACTCGCACAGCAGGCATTTTGTGTTGTCAACGCTGTGGCAACGTTAAGTCTCAATGTCGAGTAACGGTTGTCCGTTTGTTTGAAATTTGAAAGACAGATGTAACTTCAACACTGCCACACCAAATGCTCTCAACGTTTAAAGCAAACGTTGCCTCCACCTTTCAGCGCCGCCATAATAGAAAATGACATCATGACATCAAACAAAACACGACTTTAACGTCGAATATCAGTAACATGGCATCTGTTTTAGGCGTTTCTTCTGTTTCACATTTTACTCAAGTGAAAACAAGGCAACTACATTTTTATTTATTCAAAATCTTCCATCATATCAATTATCAATCTGACAGTTCAATAACAAAAACAGGTTACATTTGGCAACGCTTTATTTGATGGCCACTTACACATGACGCATGCATAAGTATAAAAAAAGTATCTGAAAAGCAACACTTGACTATTTGTTAAAAGCGTATGTCAGTATTTAAAATGACGAGATGTTTTATGAAGTAAGCACGCAGGTTATGAAGAAGCCACACAGGTCTGACAGATGATGTTCTTAACTGCACCTCTGCATTAGAATTTCCATTACCTTTAAAAGATGCTTTCTAACTGTGTAATAACACAACAAATCTGTCACATTAATTAATTAACAGATGGCATAAGGTGTATTATACATGACATTTTATAGACATATTGGTCAAATTTGTAATACACCTTATGCCATCTGTTAATACTGACATAAGCTGGTCTGAAATATAAAGTAGGGCTTTTCAATTAGTTATTTAATGCTTATGCATGTGTTATTAAGCTCCTTTTAGGCAGACTTCAAATATAGTGTCACAAAGTTGCATAGCAACAAATAAGGACAAAGCTTTGCAAAAATGTTACTCCTTGATGACAGCCATTCACTCTCAGACACACCAGTCAAGTATTAATTGGCATTACTTGGAAAGGATTTTATTGTTTTATATTTTGCAGCATAATATAAAAAATAGAAGAAAAAATCTGCAGAAGGAAGAATGGATATGTAGCATCGTAGTGAGTATGAAGTGCCATGGTTATTACAGTCTATTTGATTTTGGTAAGGGCTATAGCTCGTCTGTCTGTGTTCTGGAAAAGAGCCCGAATCAGGCTCTTCATTTCGTTACTGGAGAACTCCTGTGCGAGAGGACCTTTGCCCTCTGCCCACCTAGAAAAGAGAAATGAGATCTGACAATAGATCTACACAAGAGTCAACACAAATGTAAGTGCACTTATGAAAACAAGCACTGATTATCTACAGCACAATATTGACTGCATGTATACTTTTTATGTACGTTACCTGTCCACTATTTCTTGCAGGCTGGCGTGCAGAACTATGGACAGTTCTTTAAAGGTCATCCACTTCTTCACATAGACTGGGACTTCTTCTTGGTATTTCTTGTTCTTGTTCTCCTCTGGCAATGGAGTGAATACTAATGGTCCCTCCTCTATGATCGTCTGACAGAGCGTGTGCAGACGCTCTCCGTCTTCAGTTGAGATGTCCTGGGGTGAGATCAATGGTTTATGCTTTTAAAGGCTCCTCAGGTTTAAAGAATTACAACACTGTCAACATTGTCAGGGCTCACCTCCAACATCGTGATTTTGGTAATCAGTTCAGATATTGCGGTATTCAAGAGTGTTCCCATAGACTTGCAGTATATGTTCACTGGTAGGACATCTTGCCAGACTTTTCCCAGTTGCTTTAGCTGGTGTATCACCTAAGTATAAGCAAATAATGGTAAAAGTGAGCAATGAGATGAAATCAATTATCAATTTATCTACCACATCAAATCACATGCACTGCTGTCTCTAGAACCATATGTAGGAGAGCAGTGTTTAGACTCACTTGTCTGACTGCCTTGCTGGCTGCAGAGTAATTGTCTTCATCATGCAAATTGGAGAAGTTTCTAGCAGTAGACAGCCTCTCTAGCATCTCTGCTTTCTGGACATTCATCTGTGCCACAAAACACTGAGCACCTTAGTGAGAAAACAGCAGGAGAAACACACATTTCAACAACAAGATCTAGAATAACAACAAAAATGTATGGTATAAAGCTTTTGTCTACATCCCATACCCAATCTTCTAAATCCTGGGACCAAGTCAACAAAATAGGCCACTCCATCTTTTAAGGGAAGATGCGGTCTAAACTGGTGTCCCAGCGTCAGCAGATGGTGGGCAAGGAACATGCAGTTGTTGTGTTGAATGGCAGCTAAGTGAGGGAACTTAAGTAAATTGTCCCTATGTCAAATAAGGAAAACAACCGTTGTTAAGTCATCAGACTTCCTTTAAACACATACATAGTTCCACTGCTATGTCCATTTGTTCAACATCAGTCATGCCAGAAACACAAAGAGGAATGATCAGGGACCAGACTCACAAGACATTATATATTAGAAACAAATATGATATTTTGCCTAAATATAAACATATGATGTGTGATAAATTATGGCAAACTCACTTGTGATATGTAGGCACAACATCATAGAACAGGTGAAAAATATTCCGGGTTGTGTAGAATAGCTGGACAGCACTGGAAGAAAGGGACAATATAATGTTAAAATAATTAAAAGAAAAGAAAAAACAACATGCCAACAACCAACAAGTGGTGATAAAATCAGGAAGGAGAAATGTCTCCTTCATGTATTTATTTACTAAAAATAACTCTGATAAGCTAGACTCATCTTTATACTTGATGTGATTGCTGTGGTATCTACATACCACTGGGGGGAGCTGCCCACTGCCTCAGACAGGGTTTTTATAGCCAGTTCCATTAGCTGCTGCACAGATTCACTGATGCGGCACACTGGCAGGCACAATGTGCGCTGACCCAACTGCTTCTCATTCTCCAGGATCTGCTGATCACACTGGCCACTCCTCTTCACCTCTTGCTTCTCTCTGCTCCCTCCAGCCAGGCTGGGCAGTTTGGGGATTGCAAGTTTGTAATCTGGAGAGATCTGAAAATAAGGAATTAATTAGAGGCAAATTAAGATACTGACAGCACTCATTACAAGATATTTTTTTAAACAATGGACATTAATAGTGAGCGCTACTCTTACTTACTTTAACAGTACTGTGCATCTCTGAGGTCATGAGTTTCCGGGCAGCTACTATGACATCTTGGCATTTTTTGCTAGCAAAATGGCAGTTGACATTTCTTGCATACTTCAGAAGATCTGTGGAGTCTCCACTGAGGTATCCCATATCTTTCAACTGATTTTCAAAATCCTCAGTTTCTTTGATAACCTGGATAACAAAAAAAATGAAAACCACACAGTTACATATTGTACATCTTTCTATGCCAAGAGTACACTCCCTTTCATCTTCTTACCGTATCGTAAGCTGCTAGTTGACTGCTGTTCGTTGGTATAGAATACAATAAGCATTCACGGATGATGCAGTCTGACATCTCCTCCCATATCTGGTCTCCCAATATAGCAGACACTTTCTTATCATCTATGGATGTACCTGTGTACACAGAGTAAAAAGAAAATGAATTAAAATCAATACATAGACTACAATCTAATTTAAAGGTACAAAATATATTTTTCCTCCATACCAAAGAGGTGTTCATGCAAGGTCTTAAGTACTATAAGGATTTTGGTGTAGACTTCAGCAGGGGCTGGGTGCTCTGCTTGGTTCTCTTCACTGTGTAGACTCAAGACAGTGCCCTGTTCAAGCTGCTCACCCACCTCTACCAGCAGAGATGGGTACATGATCAGAGGCTTCAGCATATACTTCAGTAACACCTGCCCTAAAGGTGTGAGACAGAGTCAGCGGTAAGAACTTCATATAAGTTTGGAAGAACACTATTAGATATATAGACTAGTACACTATAGATATAGAAATGAACTAAGACACAAAAATAAACAATAATATTTGGAAAAATACCAAATAGTTTAATTTTCTTGTGCAGCTCTCCTTGAATGGCAAGAGCCTGAAGTACACTGGATAGAAGTTGATTAGGAGTGTGTTTGTCTTCCTTAGATTCTCCACTGTTTAAATGAAGTGCTGTCGTCAGGAGAGACTCCATTCCATTAAGCTCTGCAAAACAAAGCCACATATGAGTGATGATCAGAAATCAGACTCATAACACTACTACTACTACTACAACTAAAACAACTACTACTATTACTATTACTATTACTATTACAACAACCACTACTGATGATAATAATAATAATAATAATAATAAGATGAAGAAGAAGACCAAGAAGGAGAATTTTTTTTCAAAAGACCTGCATAATTCAGTGGCTGATGTAAACAAAACAAAGAGTGGTTTGATGTGAAATGGTCCATTTTATAGAAATTCACCAACTTCGACTTTCTTTACAGAGGTAGTGAAAGGAGCCAGAGGTCACAATGCCTACAATCCAGATGTAGTCATTTTATTTACCATCCAAAATGACCAGTGAACCTACACATTTATCATGAATTCTTTTATTCAGTGCTGATAAATGGTAAAATCAAGGTAAATCTCAAATAAGGAGATTTCTTTGGGGACTGTTTTGCCTTAGAACCTAAAGCCCTGCATGTTCCCCACCATGAATGTATTTTTAAAAAATGTTTTAGCAAAAACTTGCGGGCTGGAAAAAAATCCAGTGCATGTACACAGGTCTTACTCTGTAAACTGGAAACAAAAAAAGTGGCTCAGATTGAGCCACACAACACTATTCCAGCCAATCAGCAACAGGGGGCATTCATGCTCAAACTCAACGCATAATCAAGAAGAGAAGAACTAAGATTAAGAAAGACGTTTTTAGATCAGGCCAGGGCGAAAAGCCATGTTAACATCAGTGAGGCATTTCAACAGTGGAAAGACTTCCATGAGTTGACAAGGCTGAAGCTGGCTTCCTATTTGGGTGCCTCTTGTTTGAATTTATATCAGGCGCCAGAATGTAACTGCTGCACCATTTAAGGTGGAAAGGGAAAACTCGAACAAGAAGCTGGCCAGTAAGAAGCTGACATCAGCTTCACTGAGGGTTGAAAGGCATGAAAAGGGATGAGGATACTGCTCTTTTTCTGTTTGACAGGTGGGTAACTAACATATTTTTGCTGCTTCATAGAACCAATAGGTCAGTGTTCTTTTGTTCAGTTTGCTAATATGTGTGATAGCTAATCCCTAGCTGATTCGCTTTGCAGCAGCAATTGTAGCAGAGTTTGTTAACCCATAACCTGGCTAAAGTTACATTAAGATACTTGCTGTGTCTTTGTTCCCTCAGACATTATATCACAGTATTTGCCCGTACAATGTTTGCAAAGAGTTCTGACTTGATTAGTTTCTCTAGAACGCAGGATTTCATGTAAAAATCAGTACAAGTGACTGTTTACGTCTTTTAGAAATTTTGAAATTGTGAAAAATTGATGGAATTCCCACTAATGTTTTAACCTAATGTAATGTAAACATTACTCTCACCTTTGGCAGGAGGCAGTTTCCATACTGCCAGTTTCTTCCACTCTTCTCCAAGATGGTAGATGAGGTTCTCTCTCTGTACAGTTATCTCTGAACTGAGGGCTTTAAGTAAAGGCAACTCTGAATTTTTCCAAGCTTTCAAGGCTTCAACACTGCCTCGTGCCTTAAGAAGATGGGAAATAGTAAAATATATTTACCATTCTGTAAATATATTTGTATTAAATTCAGACTAAAGGCAATCAATAAAGTATTCATATTACATTACTCACTTTCCCAAGCTGCTTGGCTGCTGTTTCATATTTCTTCTCCTGTAAGGTCTTGTGGTACTCCTCCATTGCTGTGTCAAACTTTAAATATAAAAACATCCCAGACCTGAGAAATGTCCCTATTTCTTTGCAAAGAATATCTTTGAAGGAAAAAAAAAAACTCAAATTTAAAAGACAAATGTATCAAACAAAGTAGTGTATCTGAGGTTATTACTACCTCAGTGTAACTGTATAGAAACATGACATGCCTGTACATCACAGCTGAGTCAGTAATAGCCTACATCCACTCACCTCTTGTAGATGTTGGAGCATGCTTATCACTGCAGTGTTCTTCTCCAGTTGCTGTTTGAGCTTGGCATATTCTGTTACAGCTTCATGTAGGTTCTGTTGCACCTGCATTTAGAGTTTAATAGGGAGGTGGAGTGATTTATTGCACTAGTCTGAAAACAAGACAAGCAGATATCTAGCAGTCATGTAGCTAAAGTAAAGGACAGCATGTTGTCCTATACCTCATTCTCAATACAGCTTTTCAATAGATCAATGTCCTTAGATACGGCTTCAACTTGGTCCATGAGTTCTTCAGCTGCCTCCATACTTGGTATGAACTCGTTGTATTTCTTATTTATCATGTCAGACACTTCTTCCTATAAGAACAATAAAGAGATTTAAAGACAAAAAACATAGAAACATGAAACCTAACAATCAAAACAGTTGCAACATAGTGCTGTGTTACCCACTTCTGAGCAAAGGGATATATCAAATACCCACACAAAACAGCACAATTTGTTCATCTGTGAGGAGTCCCACTTTTGTGTGTTACAATGCTTTCTGCTGTCACTCATTTTTCCCTGCCTTCATGCTACACGATCATTAGGTAAAATACCACAAGCTTGCATAGAACTCACTAACCTAAGGCTGCAGTGCAGGAGTGAAGTGAATGTCTACAATGCAAATATAGCCATTTTATTTACTATCCAAAATGACCAGTGGACCTATACGAGTTTTTATATATAAATACAAAATAAATATAAATATATAAAAACATTATATTTTGATAGCAGTAAAATAGTGGTAAATACAAAAAAGGTTACTATTTTGCCTTATAACACCCTGCATGTAGCTCTCTGTCTTGAATGTGTTTAAAAAAATGCACATATTGTCTCAGGCACCAAGCAACATAGTAGTAGTCATTTCACATAATACATTTTTGTGAGGTAGCATTTAGGGGCACTGAACGATTCAGATGTCTGGTTCCTATCACCACCACTGTGAACAATTCTGACTCAGTTTCTTTTAGAACTAAGCATTTCAGATCAAACCACTCTGAATGACTTTGTTTACATCTTAACAGTTTAAATTATCATGAGTATAATTCCCCTTTAATATATGAATCAATTCGGGTGGGCAATATAACTATTTTACCAACATGACAGATTACACTACAACATGCTTTTCTTGCAAACAGAGCACAATTAGACCTGTTTTATTGGATTTAATACACTGCAGCATGTAAAACATTGAATAAATACATCATTGTACTCGCACAAGTAGGCTAATGGTACAGACCTGTCTTTTTTTTTCCAACTTATCAAACTTCAAAAAAAAAAAATCTCATGATAAAAAATATGATGTTTTTGGTTTTTGCTATACCATTCATCCCTCAAATAACATATGATATAAATTATATATCGATATTGTTTTCCTTTATATATGTGTATATATATATATATATATATATATACACACTTCTTGGGCCACCGGGGATCCCTCACAAAGCACAACATACTCACCAAACCACCAAACCAGACAACACTACACAAGTGGGTTTCAACTAAAAATAACTGAAAATCTTTTGATTAGATTACATCAGTTGTTTTACTTAAAACATGGATTAAGACTGCTACATAACAGGCCAGCTAGCACCAAGCTCCGCAATGCATGACACGTCAACCAGAGTCGCCCAGCTTACGAAGCAAACACCATCTGTAACACTGTTTACCTGACCTTATTACCGCTTATACTTAAGCAATAGTTACAGTTTAAACCCAGAGGCCTATATGTCTTGTAGTAATTCCTCGTTATGTCTTTTAAGCCAAGCTGGCTATTTGAATTCAGGCATTTGTTAGCCGACTAGCTCCTGGAGGCAGCTGGCTAACCTTAATGAAGGACTAACAGTGGAGGTAATGTTGGCTCTGTCGTTGAACAAACAAAAGTTAGATAGCCAAATGACTGTATTTGAATCCAGAAAGGGTAGTTGTCCGGCTAATCACAGGACACTAACGAGCAAAGTGACGAGAGGAAAGTTCACCTCAAGAGGACCACCCTATGACTTTAGCTACTTGAGCAGTACACATAGCTATAAGAGTTAGCTATACGTTAACCTTTATGTAGCTAGGAATATATCATTTTAACTAACAGTCCACTAATTACAGTAACGTATCATTAAATGTTGAAGCGGTAATTTGCTGTAATTTTGCGTTGGACGTAGAAATGACAGCTGCATATCTAGCTAACCTAGCTAAGTTAAGCTAGCTTGCCTAGCAAAGTGCATTTTGAAGCAAGAGTTTATTTACCTTTGTTTCCTCCACTTTCCGGGAGAGTTTGGAGATTTTAGAAGCGAGATCATCTTTTTCCAATTTTCCCGAGCTCGCAAGTACTTCTGTTACAAACGAAGCCATCCTCGGAAACTGTTTCTGTCAAATCAAAGTTTCTGGTTGGTCAAACGTTGCTACTGCCCGCCATACCGCGCGAGTCCTACTGGGAGTGAGTCCGATCCGAAAGAACCGAATCATGAATCGAGTCACACGAATCATTTAAGCAGCAGGGTTGAAACTGAACTATGAAAGATGAGGCTTTTGTATTATTTAAAAACGAAGATATTAACCACATAAAACATTTGTGAAGAGAAAACAGAACGTATCCACGAAATACCAACAAAATCGGCTCTGTTGACTTTAACTGTGTATTTCATAATACCACAACACTGGCAACAATGCTGAAAATTACACAAAGCCTTTAAGGTGATTAACATCGTTAGTAACCTGATGTAATACATTCTTGCATGTAAAAATAACAGCATTTAAGAAGAGTTAAGCAGTTTAACATACACTTAAATATGCTTGACATAATGTGGAATGTGGAAACATACATGAAGCAAAATAACAGATTATATACTGGAAGGGGAGGACATTTCATACTTGAAACAAGCTTTTGGATAAATCAGTGTTATGAATGGCAGGTGTTTAATATGAATGCACATTTTTATTATTTTTTTATGCTCCTGAGTTGGATCCTGAGTTTTGCTTGCCATACAGTGTGAGACAAGCAGGGTTAAGAACAGAAACATGAAAGCACTGAAATATTAAGTACGTACTGAATCACGGCTGCATGGGGACATTATTTTGGTCTTTATCTGGTCCAATAGTACACTCTTAAAAGAGATGGTTCTTCAAAAGTTCTTTAGTAAAGGGAATGGTTCTATTTAGAACCATGAGTTCTATATAGACCCAATACATGCTTAAAGCATTCTTTGCATGGTGAAATTGTTCTTCAGATTGATGGACAACCTGTTGCATCGAAAAAGGGTTCTTCCATTGTTACAAGCTTGACATTGTAACAATAGAAGAACCCCTTTTGGTGCTATATAGAACTAGGTTCTACAACCCCAATTCCAAAAAAGTTGGGATGCTGTGTAAAATGTAAATAAATGTAAATAAAAAAAAGAATGCAATGATTTGCAAATCTCATAGACCCATATTTTATTCACAATAGAACATAGAACACATATTAGATGTTGAAAGTGAGACATTTTACCATTTCATGAAAAACTAACTCATTTAGAAAGAGCATTTTAGAGAGGCAGTCTCTCTCAGCAGCAAAGATGGGCAGAGGTTCACCAACCTGTGAAAAACTGCATCTTAAAATTATGAAACAATTTCAGAAAAATGTTCCTCAATGTAAAACTGCAAAGACTTTGAATATCCCATCATGTACAGTACATAATATAATCAAAAGATTCAGAGAATCTGGAGAAATCCCTATACACAAGGGACAAGGCCGATGGTCAATATTGGATGCTCGTGATCTTCGGGCCCTCAGGCGGCACTGCATTCAAAACAGGCATGATTCTGTACTGGAAATCACTGCATGGGCTCAGGAACACTTCCAGAAATCATTGTCTGTAAACACAGTTCACCGTGCAATCCACAAACGCAAGTTAAAGCTGTATCATGCAAAGAAGAAATCACATATAAACAGTATCCAGAAACGTTGCCAACATCTCTGGGCCAAAGCTCATTAAAGATGGACTGAGGCAAAGTGGAAAAGTGTCCTGTGGTCCAATGAATCAAATTTTGAAATTCTTTTTGGAAATCATGAACACTGCATCCTCCACGCTGAAGACCTCCCAGCTTGTTATTAGCACACAGTTCAAAAGCCAGCATCTATGATGGTATGGTGGAGCATTAGGGCACATGGCATGGGTAACTTGCACATCTGTGAAGGCATCATTAATGCTGAATGAAATATACAGGCTTTGGCAACATATGCTGCCATCAAGACAGTGTCTTTTTCAAAGAAGGCCTTGTACATTTCAGCAAGACAATGCTAAACTACACTAGCATCCACCACAACTGCATGGCTTTGCAGAAGAAGAGTCCGGGTGCGGAACAGACCTAACTGTAGTCTAGACCTTTCACCAATTTTGGCGCACCATGAAACGAAAAATCCGGCAAAGTACACCCAGGACCGCTGAGCAGCTAGAATCCTACATCAGACAAGAATGGGACAACATTCCTCTTCCAAAACTCCAGCAACTGGTCTCCTCACTTCCCAGACATTTACAGGCTGTTGTTAAAAGAAGAGGAGACACTACACAATAGTAAACATGGCCCTGTCCCAACTTTTTTGAGATGCGTTGCTGCCATCAAGTTCTAAATGAGTTAATATTTTTCATGAAATGGTAAATGTGTTCTATGTTCTATTGGGAATAAAATATGGTTCTATGAAATTTGCAAATCATTGCATTCTGTTTTTATTTTATTTTACACAGCCTCCCAACTTTTTTGGAATTGGGGTTGTATATAGAACCACATACAACACATTCCCCATCAATCTGAAAAACCATTTCACCATGCAAAGGACCACTGACACATGCAAGTGGTTCTACATAGAACTCGTGGTTCTAAATGGATTCATTCCCTTTACTAAAGAACCCTTGAAGAGCCATCTTTTTTAAGAGTGAGTGTAACTAGAGGTCGATCTCTCTCTCCTTTCTTTCAGTCTTTTCTTTAGCACTTTCAGAGGATGTCTGCACTTCAAATGTCTTGTCAAATGCGCTGTAGTCCACACGAAAAGCCCCTTTCTCTAAAGAAATGCAGGACTCAAAGCGATGACCCCAAAGAATCTCATCCTCTGTGTAAGACGTCCTTGCCTGGCAAGTCATACCTATAAGAGAAAAAAGGCAAAGACAAATTATTCGGAAAAACTGAAGCTATTAACAGTGTATGCATATAAATTTGTGAAGATATTGACAATGTATGCATATAATTTTTTTCATAAAAAGCGTACTAAAAATGTCTAATTCCTATCTAAATGCTTTTGTAGCTAGTAAAATCACACAATCCACATCATATGGGTTAATGTTATGAACTGAATTACATTGAAAGACTGTGGAAGAGCACAGAAATCTAGCAAACCTGATGCTTCGACTATTCCTTCGAGGATGACAATGATCTCAAACTTGTCCCTCTTCAAAGACTCAGCTCCTATCTCCCAGAAGGGGCTGCTTTCGTTAATTACATGAGTAATAGTTTGAGGCTCCACCAGCAGAAGTCGGTCTCCTCCAGTGTCATACCCCAAGTTGATCTCAGATTGCTCCAGAGGAATGAACTCCCCCTCTTTAGTTTGTCTGGATTTGATCAGTTTTGCTCTGATCTTGGCATCAACCATGTGGCTCTCTCTGAGGTCTCCAATGCGGAAGAGCAAGCAAAGATTCTCATCTCGCTCGGATATGACACAGTGCTTGCTGAAGATCAGAGTCTGGGCTCTCTTCTGTGGCCTGGATATCTTCACGAACATGCACCCAACCATGAGAGCGTCAATGATGGAGCCAATTATAGACTGGGCCATAATGAGAACTGCGCCTTCGATGCAATTGGCTGTCACCATTCTAGAACCATAGCCAATGGTCCTCTGGCTCTCCACAGACAGGAGCAGGGCCGACAGAAAGCTGTCAACATTTTCAAAGCAGCGCTGCCAGTTTGGGTCATTCACATGGTTCACGTCATCTCTCAGCCAAGCATCCAGGAAATAGATTTCAGCAAAGACTACCCAAGTGCCAATGTAGCACATGGTGAAGACGAACAGGAACCAACGGTACCTCAGATCAACCAGAGTGGTGAAGATATCAGACAGGAATTTGCATTTGTCTTCGATGGGCCCAAGGTTGACTCTGCATTTGCCATCCTTTGTAATGTAGCGCTGTCTTTGCTTGCCTGTAGTAAGGCAAACTTGCTGCTCTTCACCCAAGAGCTTGCACCGTTGCTTTCGGAACATCTCACGAGAAATTTCCACAGGGACCTGTACTGGACAGTGGTCACTGCTGCTGGAATTTGAGCGCCACTTGGAACTTAGACGCTTAAGTCGGCGACTGCGGCGAACACGGTGGGTCTTCAGGGGCTCCTCTATGGCCTCATCCTGACCTGTGGGACGGATGTACATGCAAATGCTCTGCTCTTGGCCGCCAGGAGCCTGATGATGATGATTATGTACTTGAGAAAAGGTCAGTTGACGTCCTGGGACTGGCACCAAGGCCTGAAACTCAAAGCTCTTACTTTGGGGTAAAGAGGCCTTTTGAGAGTTCAGCACTGCTGATGCCACTGCTGATTTACTTCCAACCTTGGATTAAAGACAGAAAATACGGAGAAAGTGTATATGAACCATTCTTCCAAATTAGCTCAAATTGCAGTCCCACAGTAAAAAAAATTATGAAAACAAGGATCATGTTATGATATATTTATTTAGGCGTTAACTGATGTATTAATATGCTAAAAATATACAAAAAGATTAATTATAGGGTACTGTCTATTGGGATTTGGCTGTCCTAAACCCTAACCCCTAAATTTCAACTTGTGAAAATACAACCCCTTTTTCAAGAATGTTGGGACGCTGTACAAAATGTAAATAATCACAGAATGCAATGATGTACAAATCGTTTACACCCTATATTTAATTAAAAATAGTACCAAGACAACACATCAAATGGTGAAATCGAGAAATGATTTTTTTTTAAACAAGAGTGATGCAACACAGTGGTAAACATGCCCCATGTTTCAAAAAAGTCAAGACATGTTCCTGGCATCAAATTCAAAATGGCCATATATTTTTCAAAAAAAACAATAAAACTTTTTTGGAACATGGTTGTAATACTTTCATTGGTGTTTTAATATTTGATATAATATTTAATATTAATATTTTAAATGAAGTTGAAATCTTTAGATTTATCATAAGTTTAAATTTTAAAATGAAAAAAAAAAATACATTTAAAAAATTCTGTCCCTTGTTTTCAATACTGAAAAAGAAAGAGTTTTAGTTCATAGCCTAATTGTAACCACACCCCTGCATTTTAGAGCAGGAAGGGAGACTGTATCCCTGTCTTTCATGGTGCACGGTGAGCATCTACAATCTTAAAAAGATGGTTCTTTAGTAAAGACAATGGTTCTATATAGAACCATGAACGCTCAAAGAACCATTTGCATGCTATTGTTACGATGTCAAGCTTGTAAAAATAAAAGAACACTATATAGAACCATATACACAACACATTCTCCATCAATCTATATATATTCTATACAGAACCATTGTCTTTACTAAAGAACCCTTGGGAAACCATCTTTTTTTAAGAGTGTATGTCCCACTGATTTTGAGTACGTGTCCTAATGTCTGAAAATCAGTGTGAAACCTTAAAGTCAACGTGTATCAGGAATCAGAACATTTTCTTTCTTAACTTTTCTTAAGATTTCTGTGTGAAACAGGATATTGGAGCAGGAAATAAATGTGGCTTGGAAATGATTTTATTCTTTTGGATTTGTTTGGATCATGAAAAGCATTCTGGAACGAACGTGGAGTCAGACTTGGGCAGTCAGGAGAATCCACCAGAAATGATTTTGTCAAAACAAAATGCTACAATATTTAGCTGTGTATTTTCTGTAGTTTCAGAAACATGATTCATTATTTGTTGAAAGCTTAACTTTAATGTGTATTTTTTTTTTTTTACTTTTTAAGACATAGACAAGGAAAAACACCAGTCAGCAGGCTAGCCTTTTAGCATCCATGTTGCTCTCACTTTTCTTATGCTTTCACAGCAAAAGCAAGAGAAAAGAATTCAGTAAAAAAGATGTCAGGATATTGTTAAAATAAACCTTTGTACGAGTGTAACTGTCTAGTGTGTGAGCAAGTGATCGACTGTGTGCATGCATGTGTTCGTGTGCACTTCAGAAAAGAGAAGTAAAATACTGCCAGATATTTGAACTAGCTCACTCATGTTAACATGAACTTATGTTTCCAGCGTAAACAAGCTGAAAATACTCATAAGTGATTATTTTACAACCAGTCCAAAAAACAAAAGTGAGAGAGTAAACTGTCATGGGAAAAGAGGCTGTCTGCCAACAAACATGTACATGAGGCCAGAACCAAAGCGATGACTGGTGTTCTTTTTTTGATGATCGATCAAGGTAATGGGAAGGGAGAGAAAACATGCCAAGATATTAGTGGTTAGTATAATTTTTCCCACTCCCTGTAACACAGTGACGCAACCAAATGTCAGACAGCGTTTAGAGGCGGGTAAAAGGCACTACACTTCAATCACAGATTAAAAAAAATATGATTTTACATTTGTACAGCTATTCAAAGCTGTGTTTGCTTATGTACTGGCTACTGTTATTTGAGTTATACTCAAAATTAGCTAAAATTGGTCTTTGTAGTATTATGATTGTTTTGGTAGTGAATGAAATGAAAATGAAAATGAAAATGATTGTAGTCCAAGTCAGTTAAAAGTCCAAAATGTGCTTTTAACTCAACTAATTCTGCCTTTCAGACTGATTATTCTTTACCTTTGGGTATGGACTGTAAAGGGTCGATTCCGGAGCTGGCCGGGGAAGATATGCAAGCAGGTGCTTGGCTGTGAGAAACTGTGCTGGGGGGATGGAGTTTCTACGATGGTCAAGTCTCATGGGACGGACTTTCACTCCGTTGCACTCCCGTAAAGCCATCTTGCTGCATGTGACAGTAGAGACCATCACAGATTATTTCACAAGAGGCCAAGTATCTTCTTCCTGTTGAAGGCATATTGAATTAATGATAATTGAGCATTCTCAAATGAACAATACAGACCAAGAGATGAAGTGGTTCAAATATGTTTATGTCGTATCATATTTTGGGGGCTATGTAAAACTTAAAAAATTTTCCTCACTTTTTGTGAAGTCAAAGAATTTAATGTAGTATGTAAGCACTGTAAAAGTTTCAAAATGTTCTGTTCACACCCCGTTCCATACAGTCCAGAGATGGACATTAAGCTGCAACAACAGCCTGTTTTGAATTCACTGTCTTTGTGATGTCATGAATATCCTAAACATATGTGTCTATATCAGTTTAGCCCCACCCATACTTGTTGATTAAGTTATACGGCATGTTTCACCCTGGACTGCTTTTTTAATGAAATTTTGAATAGGCAGCCAATCAGAAAAGAAGCCACTTACATATACCCATCTTAAGGGAACAGTCACAAAAACAGCCTGTTTAATTCTGAGGGATTACAAGATGTTAAAAATGGTCATGTGTTAATGACTCATGACCGTTTGGTACATAAACCCACACAAACATAATACGTGGACCTCAGGTGAAAATGAAGAAAAATGTAGGAGATGAGCCCTTTATTTCTGCCAGATGTGTCTGTTTCCATCTCCTCCTTCCTAAACCCTTCTGTGGACTCTTAGAAGCCCACAATCCACTGTGTGGCAGCATCTTGAATATCATTACAATCCCTCCAGTGTTCCACATCTAATTAAACTGTGGAGATTACTCCCAATCCACTAAATCCAGGATATAAAGTGGGAAGGAGTGTGGTGATGGATTTGAAGAGATTATGTCTGTATAGCTTTCTTGGCAAAGGAAATTCTTTCATGGAGATTAGGAAGGGAAAAAATATAGTTGCCTCCTGTGTCCATTACATCTGGGGTTGTCACTCTTGCCAGTTTTTGGCAACTTTTTAGCAAGTTTTTTGGAATTAAACCACCACGACAGCAGCTGTAGTTCTGTTGGGTTTGAAAAGAGCTTCACCATCATCCACTGATGCATGATAGCTACTGAACAAAAGAGATAGCAGCCATCTTGTTTTTTTTACATGACATTACTGATACAAAGTGCAGATTCCATACAACTTCTTTTGTTCTTTGATCAGTCACAAAAGAAATAGTCAAAAATAAAACATTGACATGTATTTGATGCTCAGATGCTCAGGACTTAACCAGTTAATTTATACTGCAACTGAAAATTAAACTTAGCAAATATATGTCAAATAAGAAATTCATTTTGTTAAAGGAGCTATACAAATAATTAAAAATCAGTGTCTGATTGCAATGTCTTTCATGTCTACATCTGTAGATGTCGATGCCAGTACAAAAACTTTTATAAAGTATAGAAATTGTGACTACATCTACCTGAATTAGCATTATGAGGAAAGAGAACCTTTACTTCTGTAGGGCTACAAATGCAGTAAAATGAATGAAATGAAAACATTTTAGCACAGCAGCCCTGCAGTAGTCTAGCACGCTACCAGAATGCAATAAATCATCAAATATCACTTTCAAATTTTGGTCAAATCAAAGTGTCTGTCTGATGAAAAATTAGTTAAAAACTAATTATCTGCCGATACCAATATGTTTCTGACATTATCACGCATCTCTAATATCTTTATTTATGACAACAAAGTAGTACTAAAATAAATCAAATCTAAGACCAAAAAAGTGACACTGTACCTGTGTAGTTCAGCTGACTGCCTTTAGAGCTCCTGAAAAGACTCCTCCTAAAAATGAGCCAGAGAAATCACAGAATGTAGAGAAAATGGAATACTTCTTGTTTAATGATCTAAACAAAGACTTGCATTCTTCCTTTGAGGCATGAGTGAGGTAGCAGTGCATCTGCTGTAGTCCCTAAACCCTCCAATCCCACTGCGGTGAGGGTCAACTGGTAAGCTGCTCTAAGGCCAGCAGTGTCACAATCTCAGCATGATGACACAAGGTTAATGACAGAGAGATGAAAATGACAAAGCTCCTACTCACTAAGCAATCAGTATGCAAATATGTTTGTGTATATCTCACTCCGTATATGCAGTACTGACAAAAGCGTTCACTAGACTACTTTCAGTAAGTGTCCTAAGGGGTTATTAGTAACAGTAGGCTGTGCAAAAGTCAGATACTAGTCATTAAATACAAGTTCTTTATTTTATATTTCTGATGACATTAGATATAAAATGAAGCACTTGCAGAAGGGAGAAAGTCAAAGGAAAATAAATGAAAACAGGAGTGTCCAAAATTGGAGTTCAAAAAATTATTAAAAGATACAGAGAAAAATGGGACTCTTAACAACCATGCAAGACCACCAAAACTGTCACTATCAGATAAACAATACTTAAAGCTTTCATCTTTGAGAGATAAGAGACTCTAGTCTAAGCAGGAAATGCAACTAACTTCTAAGACTGAATTTTGGAGGTGTGGAAAAATATCCATGCAGATTCCATTGAAAACTAAGAGCAAGTCTCCTGAAAAGAACGGAAGCTATAATAAAGACAAAGGATGGACATATTAAATATTGAAATGATATCATACTTAGTTGTTGAGGATTCTTTTCTACTTTTTTCCTGACACTGAAAAATGAAGAACTTGTACTTATTTAAATTTTTTTTTCAGCTGTTGTGACGTTTTCTGCGTCACAGGTTTCTGGCATTTGCACAGTACTGTAATCACAAGACATCAAAGCCGAACACAGTCAAGAATCAGAAAAGTCAGAAAAACACCAGAGTAAGAAAGACAGAACTCAAGTGGCAGAGTACAACAAAGTGAGAGAAAAGTTTATTGTGGGTCAGCACAGGTTTAGAGGGATGGAACAGAGGAGAGGAAAAACAGTTAAAGAATCTGAAATAATGGATGTATGGTAAACTTCTATGAATGGCTAATTTTCACAGCAACATCAGTCTACAGTACATTTGGAAAGTCAAATAATATAAAAACCTTTTTGAAATACCCCACCTTCGCTGTCCTCCTTTAATTTTGCATTAGCAACATTAGCATTTAAAATGTATTTTGTGTTACAAAATGACATCCATTTGATCTTTCCTGAGATCAAACATCTTGAAAGAGCATAAGAAATCAAACAATAGCTCTTCAAATGCTTCAGTGTGCGATGAAGTGTCAGAGTTGACTAAAGGGTCGTGACAAAAGCACGATAAAAATATGTATAAAAAACTACATAGCTCTATAGTCAGTGCAGCAACAATAGAAAACCAGTGTTTAACATTTCAGCCTGAGGCAGAGGCTAAATGGCAGTGAATTACCATAACGTTGCCTCGCCTTCTGTCCGTGCTCACTTCACAGTGACAATGGATGTGCTGTGAATGGACTCCATGACGGCAGCCAGGCGACTGCACAGGTCGTGGGGCGACTTCCTTACTTTAGGTGGTTCTTTCAGCACCACCCGCTCAGCCGAGCAGTCAAGAACCCTTGGCAAGAACTCGCTCAGCTTCTCCTGCAGAGACTCTGTCATATTCACCCAAACACAGAGCACACCAGTGAGAAAAATGGTACCACAGCTTTAAGCATCTACACTCCCATGCAAAATATGGGCCAAGCCAAAATTGGCAAAACATTAAACTTTTAACAGTCTTAACAACAAATCATTGCAACAAATTAAACAGATAAAGTAACTTTGGTTAAAGTATGGGATAACTTGTCCCCTAGATATCTTTAAATGATGTCTTATGGGAAAACTTACAGACAGCCTTTTACAGAAAGAAGGGTCAATATTGATGACTTCAAATAGCTGGAAAACACTGAAAAGCTAGTTTGTGTTTAACCTGAGACCAAATTTTCTCTATAGGGTTTAAATCTAGATTCTGTCCAGACCAAAACCATCAGTTCATATAGACAGTTGGGCTGAGGAGTTAAATAGTACATCAGACTCTTTTAAAAAGGGAATTTGGTTGTGCCTTGACATAGGCTCTTCATATGAGAGCATTTATACAGTTAGAAGGGCGATAAGTTAAAGCCTTACCATCCATGTCCTGCTCCAGATAAGAGCACCAACGGTTTCTGATTGCTTCTATGACTTCCATGTCCTCCTGGCTGATGCTGTCTCTAACCATGAGGTGCATGCAGGGGATGACACAGTCATTCATGATAGTCACTCCCTCTTCCACATCATTCTCTTCTCCGCTCTTAAACAGCGTGGCTGCATTCTCATTTAACTCCTAGAGGGCACACACCAGGGAGAATTTAACAACGGCCATGGGTATCAAACTAAGAATACTGATGTAGGATTAGTATTTTTTCTCCTTTTAATATAATAATATTTTTACATATACTATAGTTATATAAATACAAACCCCATTTCCAGAAAAGTTGGGACATTTTGGAAAATGCTATAAAAACAAGAATCTGTGATGTGTTAATTCTCTTGAACCTTTATTTAATTGACAAAAGTACAAACAAATGACTTATAATGTTTTGGCTGACCAAATAGATTGTATGTTGATTTTGATGCCTGCATCACACTCAAAAAAATTTGGACAGCGGCAAAATACGAGAGCAAAACTGATAGAATATTCAAGTTTCACTGTTTTGAAATGTTCCACAATAAGCAGGTGAATTGTTAACAGGTGTGGGTATCATGACTGGGTAGAAAAGGAGCATCTATCAAAGGCAAAGCAAAAAGCAAAGATGGGTCATGGCTCACCACTTTGTGGCAAACTTCACCAGGGATTTGTCAAACAGTTCAAAAAGAAGATTTCTTAATGCAAGATTGTAAAGACTTTAGGTCTTTCACTATCTACCACATATAATATTGTGAAAAGATTCAGAGAATCTAGAGAAACCTCAGTCCATGCAGGGCAAGTCTGGAACCACTGTTGAATGTGCGTGACCTTCAAGCCTACAGATGGCACTGCATGAGAAACCATCATGCTACCATGTTCGGAAACTGTTGTCACTTAATCCAGTCTGCCACTGAATGCAACTTTTATGCAAGGAGAACTATACCTCTATTATGTAAGGAGAAAGCCATACATCAACTCTGTGCAGAAACGCTGCTGAGTTCTTTGGGCCAGAGTTCATTTCGAATGGTCTGAAAGACAGTGGAAATTTGTGCTGTGGTCAGATGAGTCTACATTACAGCTTGTTTTGGGGAAACATGGACGTTGGAGTTCTCTGTGCCAAAGACAAAAGAGACCATCCAGGCTTTTATGGGTGACCTGCATATGTGTGAAGGTGTGTGAAGGCGCATATTGTTTTTTTTGGAGAGACCTATGCTGCCATCAAGACAACGTCTTTTCTCAGGATGTCCCTGCTTGTTTCAGACAATACCAGGCCTCAGTCTGCATGTGTTGCAACAGTGTAGCTTTATAGACACAGACTGCCTGCCTGCAGTCTAGATCTGTCTTCTATTGAAAATGTGACGCACATTATGAAGAGGAGAACCAGACAATGGTGACTATGGACTGTTGAGCACCTGAAGTCTTGTATCAAGCAAAAATGGACAAAAATTCCACTTGCAAAACAGCAACAATTAGTGTCCTCAATTGATTAAAATGAGTAAAAATGATTAAAACATGTAATTAAAAGGAAATGTGATGTAACACAGTGGTAAACATGCCTCTGTCCCAACTTTTTTTTGAGTATGGTGCAGTCATCAAATTCTAAATTTGTTTATATTTACAAAATACAATTAAGTTGTTCAGTGAAAACATTGGACATCTTTTCTTTGTACATTTGTCAGGGAAATAAAGGTTCAAGAGAATTAACAAATCATAGATTCTTGTTTTTATTGCATTTTACAAAAAAAACTTCTCAGAAAAAAAAATTAATGTTTGTATTCCTAATCCATCTTTTTAAAAATGACTCTGTTACAAAATTGACTAATTGTACATTTTGACCATTTAATATGTCTATACACTATATCACAACATGGAATGTTAGGATCAAGAATACATACCTTCAGACATTTTCTTCTGTAAAGTGCTATAAGTGTCTGGTCCACTCCTTTCCTCTCCCCGGTTTTAAGCAGGGCTGCATTGTCTTGGTAAGCATGTGCAAGATAAATCAGTGCTTCTCGAATTCTGCATAAGAGAAACATCAGGATGTTAAAGTCTTGGTTAATTCGTATGTATAGGGAAATAAACCCCTACTGTACTTCTCAAAGCCCTCACATACTTTCCATTCTGGTACTGCTCAAGTCCTGTCAGCAGGTACGCAAACACAGTCTTGAACATGCTGTAGTCATCCTGCCACTGCTACAGAAAAAGAGAATAATTAGTTCACACATATCCAGCTGATATGGAATTAAAGGGGCCATATCCTATAATTTTATTTTATTGTCTTCTATTTTTTGTGCAGGTTTATAGGGCAATCATAAAAAAAAAATTTCCAACTTCTCTTTTTAAGACTGGTATACAGTACTGTGCATCAGAGACCACCCTTCATTTCGTCAATTTCCACTCAAAGCAACTATTAAGTTATTAGTTTTGCAGCATCAGAAAAGACATATATTTGACAGAAAATTACTCCAAAGCCTCAATAAATAAATACAACCATTTTTCAGTATTTAATGTGCCTACACTTCACCTCTATTACAGCTTCCATTTTTTAATGCAACTCGCTTTACTTTTTCAAAGAAATCTGCAGGAATATTTTTCCACAACTCCAAAGTTCAGTCTTAGAAATTGGTAGTATTTTCTGCTTCTCACAATCCAAGTAATCCCAAACACACTCAGTGGTGCTGAGGTCTGGACTCGGGGGTGGTCAGTTCATTGTTC